CAGAACAGGGATCCTGGGGAAGGTGTCCGGGGCAGGGTCCTGGGAAGGGCATCCCGACCACTTCCTCTCCAGCTGTGGCTCCATCTGCCCGGCTTGCCTGCCTCATGCACCCACTGCCCATGGCCTTCCTGCTTCCCACGCTGCCATCTCTGCCAGGGTGCCCCATGGGTTCCTGTGCCACCCTTCCCCCACCCCTCAAATCATCCTTTAAGTCTTCCTTCCAAGTGCTGTGGGGCATAGTGATGAGGCGCTGGCCTTGGGGGCCACACCAGGTCGCAGCAGACGCCTTCAGCCTGGAGCGCCAGTGTTTTATGCTCTTAGTTCAGTAAAACACGCCCCGGAAATTCAAGATTGAGTGTCAGACTTTATATATGTTCAGCATTCCTCATTACAGAAATCTTTTACTGAATGGGAAAGGTTTAAATGCTAACCAAAGCAATTTATTTTTAATTAATATTTGTAGACGCTGTGCTGTCATACTGAACTCACTGCTAGCTAAGAGATCTATCAGAGGCTTAGATATATTTTCTCCAGGTTTTTGTGGGGGTTTTTTGTTGTTCTAGCCATGTGACAGAGGCTCTTTCTAAAAGTATGTAGTTCGCTGTGTGTCGGCTCCAGCAGTAACCGTCCTCACTGCGCCACGTACTCCTCTGTAGATGTGCACCCAGTGGGGGCTCCTTCCAGCCCCAGGACTGCAGCAGCAGCCAGATGCCGAGTGGATTGAGTTCCAGGTGCATCCAAGACTTTTCCTCCCTTCCAGAAGGCACTGACTGAAGACGGATGGGTCACGTGGGACTGGCTGAAATGCTCTAACCTTTTCATAAAGCGTGAGTGGTCCAGTTTGGACTGATGGGAAACTTCTTGTCATTCTTCTTAAATGGATGATACTGATGGAAATAAAAGGTGGAAAATATATTCAAAAATTGTCACCCAGACTTTACAGTAATTGACTCAGCCTCCCCAGCTGCAGGTGTGGAAAGCGTCTGGGTGACTAGTGCTTCATCGTGATTGCAAGATGTTTGTTTCCAGTGAGTTTTGTGAGGAGATGGAAGGATGACCTCAGAAGCAGCAGAGGGCACCTGCTGTGAAAGATGCCACATGCCAAGTGGGGCTGGGGTGGATCCTGGGCAGGGCACTGAAATGCACCTATCAGGGTTTGCCTCAGAAGTGCCTGGTGAGCTGAGGTGACGTGAAGTCTCAGCCTCATTTGACACAATGCCACACTTGGATTTGGGGCCTGAATTGAAGCTTTTTGCTAGCAAGTCGCTGTCCTGAGCTTGGTTCAGGCGTGTCTTCTAGCTTCCCAGCTGTTTTTAGCCATCATAGAAGCAGTGACACACCAGCAGGCCCCAAAACTCTTCCCTGTCTTGTGAAGAGCGAGCTGCACAGGAAGCCGGTTGTGGGGGCAGTTCTGGGCATGCGCTATATCCAGGACGGGCTGCCCTGCAGGCATGGAGACTCGGGCCAGGCCTGCTGTACCTACAACTGACCCTGTGGAACTGGACAGGTGGTGGCGGAGGGGACAGGAGGGTGCTGAGGCTGGAGAAGGAGAGACTGTTGCAGAGGAGGGGGCCTGGGAGGGTTCTCCTTAGGAAGTCAAAGGAAAAAGAACATTCTAGCTGTGGGACAAAGAACAGTCTAGATGTGGGACAAATGAGATAGTATTTGGGGCAGGACAGTCTTGAGTGTGACATGTTCATGGCTGCCAGAAGGTGTGAGTTGTGGGGAGAAGAATGGCGGCGGATGGTATGATTGCTGATCACAGTGGGGAGGCTGGATGCCACTAGAGGAGCAGGAGCAGGCAGGGGCGTGTGGCAGGCAGGTGAGGGCAGCCCATGCCAGCATGATGGTGTGCACAACTGGTTAGGTGTCCTTGATGCTGATCACTGCCCTACCGTGTCCCTGTGTTCCTGCCCATCTGTCCTATGGGTAGCTCCTGTCCTTCCTCTCTTAGCCAACTCAATCAATTTGTCAAAAGCAGACACCTTGTTTCTTCGTTCATAGCAAGGCGACAGTGGTGTGGCTGGAAGGGGACCAGGCCTGGGTTCAGGAGATCAGAGTCTCTCACTCACCATGTCTCTCTGGCTCTCAGAAACCAGAGAGAGAATGGACATCTGGCTGTCTTTGTGTCCTGAGCATCTCGCAAAGCTCTCTGTGCGGTGGAAGTAGAAATTACCCCAATGTGTGTTGCTATAAAAATGCTGAGTGAGTGCAGCGCCCGTGATTTGGGGCCGCACCCCATTTGGTTTCTCTGGATGGCTTGATGCGTGCTCCATTCTCTGATGTGGTTGGGTAAGGTGGGGACTGGAGCTGACATATCAGTGAGGGGCTGCTCAGGCCAGAGTGCAGCACCACCAAGCAAGTGTCTTCGGCAGGCAGGAGTCAGTGCCAGCGTCTGCACAGGCTCAGGGCCGGCCGGCAGCACTGCCCGCAGGCAGCACTCAAGGCGGTTCTCTGGCCTGCACCTCCGGAACCGTCCCTTCAGCACGATGGAAAGCTCCTCTCTGGTGGACACGCCCCTTGCGGCAGCCACAGGCCCCAGTGGTTCCGGGTCGCAGCAAGACCTGGCACAAGACCTAGCACAAGACCCCAGGTCTGTGTGTGCTTAAGTCTCACCCAGAGAACAGTGCGTGGTGCCGTTTCTGCGGCTTCTCCTGCACCGATCGGCTTGCCTCCCAACCAGCCCTTTTTCCTGGGGTGGGGGTCGGGGTCGCTTTGGTTCCCAGGGTTTGGAGGTTTGGCCTAGAGGAGTTACAGCGCCTGCGTCCCTTCCTTCCTACTGCCCACAGTGCAATCCCTACCTGTTCATCCGGGCGAGGGTGGACCCGTCCATCAGGCCTGGCAGGTGAGCCCTGGCGGCCCTGGCCCTCTCTGATGAAGTATTTTCTGCATTAACACTACGAAGTGCGCGCTGCTCTACCTGAAAGGGCTGCTCCACTTGAAGGGGCTGCTCCTGCAGCAGATGCTTCTCTCTGCAGCGAGATGATGAGCTCTTCACGGCAGACACTGTCACCTGCAGCTTCTCTCCTGGCACCTGGGCCAACCGGGGCACATGGATGCAGAAAGCGGCACCACCAAGGGGCTGAAGAGCGCCCCCTCCAGGTGCTGAGGGGCCTCCTGCAGGGCCTCTCGGCAGACTGAGCCCCACTGGCCCCTTGAGCCCCTGCGCACAGGGCTCCCCTTGGGTGCTCGGTGGCTCTGGCGTGTGTGTTGCACCTCCCAGCATCAGGCACTGCCCTGACTCCTGTGCACAAGCCCGGGGATGGGGGCTGCTGTCCGTCCCTTCCCCCTCCCCCTACTCCAGGCCCTGAAGGAACTTCCCAGATTCATGCCAGAAAATGATGAGAGCTCCCAAGCGGGGTCCCCGCTGTCACCTGCACAGGCTAAAGAGCCGCTCCCTTGCTCCCTGGCCTCTTCCAAGTCCACTCCCTGCACCAGTGACACTGGCGGCAGCCCCGCATCTCCACAAGTCACCCCCAAAGCTGCCCAGGCCGGTGTGAGAGGCAGAGGGCAGGAGGCCCGCCGCCCTGGGTTCCTGGAATCTCAAGATCCGAAAGGAAGCTAAGACTCAGTTTGCAAAACAAAAAGAGGACACAGGAGTACTTTGAACTTTCAGGCTGTGTATTTTAGTTCCCCTCAAGGCCCTCGAGACAGACAATTTGCCAAAATAACCAGATTCAGTGGCTTCTGTAAAGTCACTTCCTCTCAGCAGGAAAGGCCCTGTTTCCTGGGGCTGGGGGAGCTGGGGCAGTCCGCCTGCAGCCCCTGAGGTGGGAGGGTCCCTGAGACTAGGCCTTTCGCCAGGTCAGGGATGGGGGAGGGAGGGCAGGAGTCACCCTAAAAGGGAAAAGAGGGCGGTCCCGAGGGGGAGCACTCCCGCTCCCAGCGCCTCCTGGCCACCAAAGAAAAACCAGACGCCTGCGCCGGGCTCTCCTCCCGCCCGGGCTTCCTCGCTCCTCCCCGGCCATCGGGCGCCACAGCCGCGGGGAGCAGGGCAGGGCGCTCTGGGAGCCTATGGGCGTCTGGGCTGGCGTCGGCAGGGCCCCCGCGGGGTCAGGCCGGCTGCAGGGGCGTGGCGGCGCAGCCCACCTTGTTGCTGAAGAGGCGTGAGAGGCTGCGCGTGGGCGGAGGGGGCCGCGGGGCACCTCGGAGCCCGCGCACGTCCCAGAGGCGCAGGGCGCCGTCGTGCGAGGCGGTGTAGAGCACCTGGCCGTGCACCTGCGGGCGCAGGGGCGGGCGTCACTGGCGAGGCGGTAGGCGGGGGGACGCGGCCGCCGGCGTGGATGGATCTGGGCAGGGCACCTTCCCTCCCACGGGCAGCGGCCCTGAGCAAGGCGGAGGGACCTACCTGGATGCAGTTGATGATGAATGTGTGGCCCCGGAACACCCTCCGCAGCTCTCCAGACTGCGCGTCGAAGGCCCGGGCGCAAGCGTCCCCGCTGCCCGTGAACACTGCGGACACACAGGGCGCGCTGGGCCTCCCTCCTTCCCTCCCTCCCTGCCCGGCCCCCCGCAGGCAGGGATGGAGCAGCGAGAGCATGACCTAGGGCGGCGAGAGCGTGACCTGGGGCATCTCCGGGACTCCGCCCCACGGGGGTATCCTGAGGCTCATATGGGAAGTGGACAGCGCCCCTCCAGAGAAACAGGGATCCCCACAGTTACTGGGCTCCACCCTGCAGATGCCTGCGCGCCAGCTGGCCCTGCCCCTGCTGAACACCGCCCGGGCCCAGTCCCCACTCCGCGGTTTGGTGAAGTTGGTTCCCGTGCCTGGTTGGGAGGACCCTGCCTGGGGATAACCGTAAGGTCCTCAAGTCGCCTCCCCCCACCTTCCGCTGCGTCGCAGCCTTATCCTCCCATCCTCATTAATGGATCGGCCCCCAAATCAAAGCCCAGTCCTCTGGGATTCATGATCACGCAACCCCAGGACCCCTAGCGGGGGCGAGCCTCCGCCCTCAGTCTGTCTCCTCCCCCAGGTGGCTGTCTCTCCCTGGGGTTTTTCCCTAAGAACTTAGTCCAATTGTTTTCCAACAGCAGCCTGCATCTGTCACCTGGAGGCTTAGCCACAGAGCATGGGGCCGCATCCCAGAATCTGTTTTAGCAGACGGGGCCTGAGAATCTGCATTTCTAGCCAGTTTTAAGTGACAAGCTGCTGCTAGTCAGGAAGCCACACTGAGGATGTGGACTAGAAGAACTCACTTGGCCTAGGCTGGGCTCTCTGAAGCCAACCCTGTTGCTAGGACTTGAGGCAGGCAGTACACCTGGCAGGCATCCCAGGAAACGCTCACAGGGAAATGGGAGGTGGAGAGGGAGGGAGGAAGTCCTGGTCTGTCAATGAGCAGGTAACTACGGTGGGCAGCTAGGGCGCAAGCCTGCCTGGGACCTTGGGGAGAAGGGGCAGGACCACCTGGGGGTAAGGGTGCTGGGCTACCTATCTGAGGGTGCTCTGTGGGTACTTGTTCCCCAGCCTTCTTTTTTTTTTTTTTTTTTTTTTTTTTGAGACAGGGAGACAGGATCTCACTCTGTTGCCCAGGCTGGAGTGTAGTGGTGCGATCATAGCTCACTGTTAACCTTGAACTCCTGGGCTCAAATGATCCTCCCGCTTCAGCCTCCTGAACAGCTGGGACCACAGACATGCACCACTACACCCAGCTAATTAAAAAAAAAAATGGGGGGCTGGGCGCAGTGGCTCACGCCTGTAATCTCAGCACTTTGGGAGGCTGAAGCTGGCGGAGCAGATCACAAGATCAGGTTTCAGACCAGCCTGGCCAACACAGTGAAACCCTGTCTATACTAAAAATACAAAAATTAGCTGGGTGTGGTTGGCACACACCTGTAGTCCCAGTTACTCGGGAGGCTGAGGCAGGAGAATCACTTGAACCTGGGAAGTAGAGGTTGCAGTGAGCCTAGACTGCACCACTGCACTCCAGCCTGGGCAACAGAGCAAGACTCGGTCTCAAAAAAAAAAAAAAAAGTTTATAGAGACAGGGTCTTGCTATGTTGCTCAGGCTGGTCTCGAACTACTGAGTTCAAGCGATCCTCCCACCTTGGCTTCCCAAAGTGCTGGGATTACAAGCATGAGCCATGGTGCCCAGCCTGTTCCAGCCTTTCTTTAAAAAACTATAGAGTGAATGGCCCCAGAGGAGAAGTTTCATCTCTGGGTCTCTTTCTAGCCCCTTTCTGCCTTCCCCCCACAAACTCAGAGACAAATGGACATGGCCTGGAAAACCCAGTGTGGCTGCTGAGCTCCCCGTGGGTGGGAAGAGGATCAAAAACAAAGTCTGGTCATCCCATAGCCTTGCTGGCCAAGACCAAGAACCGAGATGGGCAACAGTGGGCTGCAGGCTCTGCTTTCCCTGCAGCCTCCATGCCCCAGCTGCACGGGGAGGTGTTCTAGGCGGCCACCCGCCAGAGCTTTTGAAAGTAGAACCTTCGAAAGTAGAACCTTCCTTGTGTTCAATTAGAGGACCCACACTTGGGAGTAGAGCTGTAACCACACTTCCAAGCTTGGACACAGGAACAAACGAAAAATAATTTTTCCGTGTCAGACACCTGAATCCTGAGGGCATGTCAGGATCTATTTTCAGATATCTGCATTCTATCTTCCTCCAACACCTTTGCTGTGAGGTCAACTTGAATATTCCACTGTGACTCTTCCCCCACCCCGTCTCCTCCCTCCCAGAGGCAGAGCCAAATGGCCCGGGTGTGTGACAATTTGAGACCTGTAGGACAGACAGCTCATTGCCTGTTCAACAAGCCATTTTGCCCTTCTTTCTTTCCAAAATAACCCTGATTCCATCTTGGCATCAAATTCCTCAAATAAAAGACTTTATGATTCACTATCTTTTGCAGACAGAACGGTGACAGAGAGGTATGTGGAAGCCCTTGGATGAAGCTTCCAGGAAAGATCTTAAAGGGACCAACTCAGCTAGAAGACGCATCCTTTCGCCCTTCCATCCTCTCTAGAAGACGCGTCCTTTCGCCCTTCCATCCTCTCTAGAAGACGCGTCCTTTCGCCCTTCCATCCTCTCTCCCTTCCTGCCTAAAACATGACACGATGGCAGACACTGTAGCAGCTATCTTGAATCATGAGGCTTCTTTAAAGACAGAAGGTCTGTGCTAAGGATGACGAAGCAGAGTGACAGAAGAAAGTTGGGTGCCTGATTACTTTGTGGAGCCACTCATTCCAGCCTAGACCATCAGCCTCTGAAATTCTTCTACCTGAGAGAAAATAAACCACTACCTCATTGGAACCACAGCTACCTAGATTTTCTCTTCCCTGCATACAAATCCTAAGGCCAAGTGAGGCCAAACCCATGTGGTCCTCGAGGTGGCTGGATTAAGGGGTAGCCACTGTCTCACTTGGAAAATTAAGATGTACCTTTTGGGACGTGCTTTTGACCCGAGACCCTCCCAGCAGTCCAGTCTCCCAGGCTGTCCTGGAGAAAGGTGGGGAGGAACCACCAAACCCTTATTTGGACCTTCTCTGCAAACCAGCTGCAGGCATGGCTGTGTGGAGAAGGACGGGGCACCGCCATTGGACATTGATGATTGGCAGCCAAGGCTCAATGAGGGAAAATCGCATAGGAAGCAAAGAAGCAGGGAGGAGAAGCCAGGCTGGGGTGGCGCGGGTTGTGCCGAGCCAAGTCACTTACAGGTGCCCGCGTGGTACTTGAGGGCGCTCACGTTGCGTCTGTGGGCCGTGAACGTGCGCACACACTCCCCGGTGTCTGCCAGCCAGCACTTGACGGTCCTGTCCGCGCTGCCAGAGTACACGAGTCGGTTCACCAGCTGCGAGGAGGAGCAGGGAGGGTTGGCAGCTGGGGCAACTGCTGAAGCACCCCAGATTTCTCCCTCTATAAGGGGGGGAAGGGGTATGTGCAGGTCTCAATGGTGAAACCGTGGGTGAGCCTGGAATGGCCCCGCCACAGGCCCCACCAGACTGCCCGCTTCAGCACCCAAAAGCAGGCGGCTCCTCCTGCCCCATGGGACAGCCAGTGCTCCGACAGGCCTGGCCGCTCAGCCCCACACTGCCCTGAGCCAGTCCCTGGCTCTCTGGCCCTCAGCTGCTTCCCCTGAGGATTAGGATGTGGCCAGCCCCTTCCTCCGGGGGTGTGTGGGGTACAGGCACTTAAGTGCTTGCTCTTGCTGGCTGAGGAAAGGGCTTCCAGAGAAGGGCTTTCACATGCTTCAGACGGACAGACAGGACAGAGAAAGCCCTGAGCGAGGGTGTGAGGGAGACTGCTGCCAGGACTGGAGCTGACAGCTGGGGGCTGTCACGGGGTCACTGCTCCCCCTACTCATGGGGCTCACAGTGAGAAGAGGACCCAGGAGACAAGGGAAGAGGCCCTTGCCAAGATGTACAGGAGTAGCAGCCCCAGGGAAGTGCAGAAACTATTAAAAATAATTCTGTAAATTTCCCTAGACTAAACACCACCCAGCCAAGAGCATTCCCAGCCAGCACCTGGTCAGCAGAGTCACAGACGAGAAGGCAAGGGCGGAGAGGCAGGCTCCACAGCTGCAGTGACCTGGCGCGATGGCACAGGAGACAGGCGCAGGCTTCATGCCCCAGAGAGGCCACCTGCCACCACTGCTGGGGCCCAGGAACCAGGAGTCAGAAGCAGGTCAGGCACGCAGTGCGCTTCCCTTGTGGTCAGCAGGCAGTGGGCCCACTGGCAGGCAGGCAGTCCACGCTGGCCACTAGCATCCCGAACATGTCCCTCCTAACTTTCCCCTCACAACCACGCTCTGGGTCACTTTCCGCTGTCGGTTCCCCATATTATCTCCCTGTTCAAATCGCGGAGGAAAGGGCTTCCATGACCCAGGCCACAGCCCAGGTCAAAGGAGTTAACTGGCCTTGGGCCAATCACTGTGGCCAGAGAGGGCAGTGGAACCACAAGGAGCACAGCGTGGCCTCTGGGAGGCAGAGGCTGTGGGTGCTTCCTGTGGACAGTCGCCTGCCCTCCCTCAGGCCCTGCGCTGAAGCCCTGCTGGGGTTATGGTGGGCCCCAGCCCAGGCAGCCTCCCTAACTGGATGGTCCCCTCCCCAAGGACAGGGATGTGTGTGACTGCCCACCTGCCCATGTCAGCTTTGGCAGGGTTCCAGAACATTCCTGCACTCAGACCTCAGCCGTCTGCACCACCCAGGAGCACAGTTCCTGCCAGTAATGTGGGCACCAGCAGGAAGGACAAATGGACCTTCTTGAGCCTGCCGGGCACACAGTCAGCCGCTCACAGTCTTCGACAGCCCCTCCGCTTCCTGAGAAAGACCACCCCTCCCCGCCTGGTGCCCGGAGGCTCTGCAGGACCCGGCTCCCCTGGCCCTACCTTCTGGTTTCCACGCCACACACCTGTGTCCACACGGCTGCCCCAGGACACCTGGGCACGTGCCTTCCTCCCAGGGTTCCTACAAGTCCTCCTTGCCCAGAAAGCCCTTGTACCGTGATCCTCCCTTTTCCTTCACGGGCAAGTGGAAGCCCAGGACCCCTCTTCGCACCACCCCCGGCCCGCGCCGTGTCTGCATCCTGGAGGCCAGGCTGACCACCGCCAGCGCAGCATTTCCTGGCCATCTCCCCACCACATGGCCGGCTCCAGGGCCAGCCAGGCTCCCTGTCCTTGAGTCCCAGTCAGTCACAGAGCCTCTCGGACTCTAATGAGAGGAGTGGGCAAGGGTGGAACGTTTCAGACAGAGACCCCCAAGGACTGGAGAGCTTCGCAGCCCCACACCTCTGTGCTGCTCAGCCCCTGCACCAGGGAGGCTCGCTGGGTGTCCAGGGCGGGAGAGGACAAAGGGAAGCCCCTCCTGCTCTCTGGCAGCCGGCCCTCACCACACCGGGCCTGTTTTAGCCCTCCCAGAAGCACCCTGCCGAGCACGAGCCAGAGCCACACAGGCCGAGGGGGCGCTCCCAGCCCCAGGGTCCTCAGCCTGTAGAGGCCTTGCTGTTCCCACTAGCTGGTTTCCTAACAGGACAGGGAGAGCGAGGTGGCCCAGGGAGGCCTGAGCCAAGGGGGAAGGCAGGATGATACTGAGGGCTCCTTGCAGCCACGGTGGCTCTGAGGAGTTTCCCGGCGATGAGATCCAACCAAGCAGAAGCAGGAGAGGGCACCGGCCTGGGGCTCCACTGCTGAGGACACAGATGCGGGCCTCCAGCTCCCCGGGTTCCAAGGGAGCCCAGCAGGCGTGGGAGGAGGCCGCACAGGGCCTGGCAGGCTCCAGAGCAGCAGATCCTCCGAGATCCTCCTCCCAAGCAAGAGTGTCGGGGGACGCGCCACCCGCCTGGTGACAGCCCTGCACACACTGTGGCGCTCACAGGCACGGGGCTCACAAATGCACAGTCTTGGGTTCAAATCCTGCCTCCACCCCTCAGCAGCTATGAGACGTGGCCAAATTACTCGTCTTCTCCAAGCTTCCACTGTCTCATGTGCAACATGAGAAACAAGGACTTCCCGCTAAGAAGGAGGCCACAAGGGCTGATGCACTGCTGTGCGCGCGCACACAGCCCAGGGTCCGAACATGGTAACCCCTGCCCATCCCTAAAATGCAGGTGCAGTCTCTGCCCGCCCGCTCCTCGGGGTTGAGTGAGACTCATGAACTGGCACCACAGGGCTTTTGCAGCCAGAGACTGCCCCACAACATCCTTGCTGTGGTCCGCACCGGGTCCCCACTGCCTCGGGCTCCCGGAAGGATCCGGGAGATCTTTCTTTTCTCTGGCTGGATTTGAAATGCTTCATTTCTTTAAAATCACAATGTTGCTATCTGATTTCAAAAGTGGGTGCCTAGGTGTCTGTTTTAGTTACTTTTTACAATTTACATTTGAAATGTTTTATAACTAAAATGTTTAAAACATCCCTGTAAAACCATGAAGGGACAGGGCACAGGCTCTATCTCTCCTCCTTTACAAGGACCCCTGGTCAAGCCCAGAACCTGGGCGATCCCTCAAAGAGCAGGGGCGAGGCCGCCCTGCAGCGCAGGGGCCACCACAGACAGGGTGCCTCCTGGCTTTTTGACCTTGGGTTTGTCACTTAGAAGCAGGTCCTCACACCACCTCTAGCCCAACCATCTCCAAAGGAGGCCTGTGTGCTCCTGGCTTTGTCCCCACCTGCTTCTGGGACCCCTGAGGTCAGTGGGCTCAACCCTGCATGCAATCCTGTAAAAAGCGAGGGAGGCAGAGGCCCCTCTGGGCATGGTGGTTTCTTGGGACCTCACCTCTGCTCTTGGCCAACTTGGAGTGGGCCACAGGCTCCAGGGAAGCAGGGAGGATGCTTTGTGGCCACCTGGTCCCCAGGCTGACAGTAGGAGGCGGGGTATATAAAGCTACGGTCTGAGTGTCGGTACCCCCCAAATTCATGCTGGAACTTAACCCCCGCTGTGACAGCATTAGGAAGTAAAGTGAACTTAACCCCCGCTGTGACAGCATTAGGAAGTAAAGTGAACTTAACCCCCGCTGTGATAGCATTAGGAAGTGAAGTGGTCAAGAGGGCCCGCCTCATAAATGGGATGAGTTCCCTTTTATAAAAGGGCTGGAGGGAGCTTGTCTGTCCCTTCATCCAAGATGAAGGATGTGGCAAGAGCAGCCGCCACCAGACATAGAATGTGCTGGCACCTTGACCTTGGATTTCCCAGCCTCTGAAACAGTGAGAAATACATTTCTATTACTTATAAATTACCCAAAGGTGTTCTGCACTTTTTGTTTGTTTGTTTTGTTTTGTTTTTGAGATGAGGTTTCTCCATATTGCCTAGGCTGGACTTGAAACTCAGGTCTCAGGTGATCCACCCACCTCAGCCTCCCAAAGTGCTGGGATAACAGGCGTGAGCCACCGTGCCCGGCCCTCCAGTCCAAGGTATTTTGTTATAGGAGCTGCAATGGACCAAGACTCTGTGAAACTGCACAGTGTCCTCTTTTCCTCCCCAGCCTCTGGAAAGGCTATCCATGTGTTTATCTCTACAAACCAAAGAAGCCTGACCTGTGTGATGTGGGTGGTGCAGACACCACAGCTCGGTCAAACGCACCATCACCGGGCGGCTCACTCAGGTCCCAGCAGACGCCCCACACTTGGCCCACCAGGAAACCTCGGCCACTCTCTCCCTTGCCTCTTGACTTGCAAGCACACACGCTTCTTCAGCAAAACGATTTCAGAGGTGACACACTGGGGCTCGCAAAGCCACTGTGGGGGCCCAGGACTCTCAAGGGCACCTGGAAGGAATTTGCCCGCTCCTCCCTGCACGGGGCAGGGGGCACTCACCAGGCCTGAACGCACAGGAGACGGATGCCTGGAGGTGAGCATGAGGCCTCTCTCATTTGGAGGTAGGGGAAGGAGATAAGGTGTCATGGGTCAGTGACCCCGACTGCACGCTGAGAGCAGAGAAAAGCAACAAGCAGGTCTGTGCTTCACTCTCAGATGGCAATGGTGCCACCTGCTTCACAGGGTTTCTGGGCTGTGGTGGAGGAGCCACACAGACCTGTGTGCAGGTGCCACGTTCCTGAGAGCAGTTTGTGGATGGGGGTGCCGGTGAGCCATGCTGGCTGAATGCATAATCTCCAGCCCAGCAGAGCACTGAGGCAGAGTGAGGGTCCCAGGCAGGCCACGGGGCAGGAGCCGCAAAAGGATTGAAATGCAAGAGCGTGTGGGGTGTAATGGCCAGCCCTGGTGCCACGAACCAAGGGACAGTCAGAGCTGGGGGGGACGGAGCACTCGCAGGGCCAGGCTGTGGAGTAGGGAAGGAGCTAGAGGGGAGGAGATGAAAAGTCCCCAGTTCGGCCCTCAACGACGGAGCTCTCCCAGTGAAACAG